CTCCTCTTACATGACTGGCCAGCGACCTAAGAGCAGGTGAGGCCAGTGATGTAAGAGAAGGCAGGAGTCGGGGCCCGGGGACCACAGAGGCGCCGACAGGTAAGAGATCTCAGACCCTGCAGAGCCCACAATAGAGAGTCTATGGTGGGCTCTGCAGGGTCACTCTCCGCTGGGGCTCTGCAAGTGGCATGACTAGCGATCACGGGGCCCCATACAAAATTTTGCTATGGGACCCTGTGATTTCTAGTTACGCCCCTGATGTGAAGTTATTAATTTTCAAAGATCCTGGAAGATCACAACAAAGACTCCAGAGCAGTGGTTGCCAATGTAAGACGCATAGAGGGCCTGACATGACATAAGGGCTGCACATAATGTCCTGTATATGTAATGTTAACGAGTTTTGTCAAGCACTGCAGACATGCTAGAAAGAAATCATGCTCCGAGACTGCAGACATGTTGCAGGTTTGGTTGGAGATTGGAGTGGAGACATGCTGCAAAAGACGGTGAGAGACTGGGGACATGTCAGGGGACATCAGGACAAGACTGTATTCCAAGGAGGGTATTCAAGGTGTGCGCTAGTCAACTATCTGTGGTACTGACTGGGATTTTTAACTTCTGGCTGCTGCAGTGTAAAGTGTCCAGTTATTTCAAGACCGCTTATCGCGTACCTGGTGAGAGACCGATAGTTGTGGAGGCTTCTCTTACTTCTTGCTAGACATGTGCACCAGCAAAAAATTAGTTTAGTTTAGTTTTGCATTTATTTGTTTTTCGGATTCGGGTCTGAAATTGAATTAGTTTTGGGATTTGGATGAAATTCGTTAGCGGTATTCCGGTCGAAAGTTAGTTTCGGTTTCGTTTCTTTTTCGTTTTCGTTCGTTCGTGGCAGCAAAGTGACATTTGAAGGGGGGAAAAAAAACTTTTGTTTTTTTTAGTCTGCAGAAGATGAAAAAAAAAAAAGCATGAGATTTTTTTTTTTTTTCATCTTCTGCAGACTAAAAAAAAAAAAAAAAATGTCTTTTTTTTTTCTAATGTCATTTTACTGCAACGAAATTTCGTCCAGAGTACCGCTAACAAATTTGGGGAAATCAGAAATTCGGATTAGTTTGCATTCGTTTTAGCTGTAATTCGGATACTTCCGAATCTCCGAAATTTCGTCCTAATTTTGATTCAGAACGAAACGAATCGCACAGTCTACTTCTCGCGTCCTACTCCCCCTGGAGGTGAGTACAGGGTGTGAAAGGACAGCAAGGAGCACGAGTGCCACAGGTGGGATCAGGCACAGGTGCAGGAAAGTCCAGGAACGGATCAGCCAATTCAGGAAGCAGGAACGGAGTCAAAGATAGCCGAGGATCAGAGCCAGCCGGGCAGCAAGGCACAACATCGTGAGGCAATAAACAAGTCCAGGATACAGGCCGAGGTCAGGGGCAGGCAGCAATCAAGAGGAGTCCAAACAATCCGAGTCACAGGCAAAGTCTTCAACAGGATCACGGGCACAGGGAACAAACACACACAGCTGAAAGACCATCAGCACAGTGAGCAGGGCAGGCTAGTTTATATAGGTAATTTCCTTAAAGGAGAACTATGGGGTTAGGGCTTTTCTCCATAGTTCTCCTTAGGGTAACGGGAGGACACAAACTAGCGTCCTCCCGTCACCCTAAGCTCAGTATACCGCGCGCTACAGCTCCCTATATACTGAGACGCTGCAGCCGAAGCGGATCCCGACAATTGTGTCTGGATCCACCCAGCAGCGTGAGTGACAGCTAGCTCTGCCTATCTAGAGGCAGAGCCAGTTGTACCCGCCCCCTCCCCCGTCCGATCCACCAGTCAGCGCTGGCGGATCGGAGCGGGACGGGGTAATCCAGTCCCTCCCCTGTCACGGCAGACAGCCGTGACAGGATCGAGAAGTGAGCGAACGCCGGTATGTGTTCGCTCACTTACCGATCTACTGAGCCGACCTGTGACAGTCTCATTGTCACAGGTCGGCTAGAACTATGAGGTGAGTGAAAAGCACCCCCCTCATAGTTCTCCTTTTAATGCCTGTTGTGTCACTTCCTGTGCGCCTGCCGTTTGTGCGTCTTTGTGTGTATTTCTAATTGTGCGCGTTCTATTTCCGCCCAGTTCTATAGGGGCGTTTGCGTGCATGCGTGGCTGTCGTGTTTACCTTATACAGCTATTATTAAACCTATACCAAAATCTTCAGTTTTTACATGTTTAAATTATTATAGGCCCATTGTGTCAACATCGGTAGTCGTGAAATGCTTTGAAAGAATAATGCGTTTTATATCAAGGCCGGGTTGCCTCCAGTGTTTCATTCATATAGAGAGAATAGGAGCGCTGAGGATGCAGTTTCCCTGGTCCTTCCTTCTGCCCACTGTCACTTAGAAAAACCAGATATATGCCAATGTTATCTGTAGATTTTAGTTCTGCCTTTATTATCTGATCTAAGCACAGGTTAAGCAGCTCCTGCTTTATTAATTTTTCCTTCGCCAAAAGAGTTCATATCCTTTTTTTTCTTTTTCATTCCTTAGGAAGAATTCCATGGAGAAAGATGGGAAGAAAGCTTCTGGTCCCAGCGGTGCCAAAGTGGATACGCTCACAGTTCCCGTCCGGCCCCGGGAATGTCCCCAATCTGATTCTGAAGGAGTAGGTTCTTAGACAATGTTATTTCTGCCTCTACAACAAAAATATCTTTCCATTGGCTTCTAAACTATGAATCCAAAATCTTTAAAAATCAATGTTCCTAACAACAGAAACAAAAAAATAGCCGACGTGTTTCGGGTCAAAAACATCCTCCTTCTACTAGAGTGTGTTGCTGTAACACCAGTCTGGTGCAAGTTTCCGTGTTTACACCGGAAATAATTAAAGTGATACTAAACTCAGGAGTTAAATCTTAAAAATGCATTAGAGTGCCTTAAAAGAGAACTATGGGGTCAGTGTTTTTCCCCCATAGTTCTCTTAAGAGTCACAGGAGGACACATACTAGTGTCCTCCTGTGACCCAAAGCTCAGTATATAGGGAGCTACAGCTCCCGGTATACTGAGACCGCTGCAGCCAGGACGGATCCCGACATTACTGTCGAGATCCACCCAGTTGCATGAGTGACAGCTGGCTCTGCCTATATGGAGGCAGAGCCAGCTGTGCCCGCCCCCTCCCCCGTCCCTTCCTCCAGTCAGCGCTGGAGGAGCGGGGTGGGAGGAATCTCTGCAGGGAGCCGTGAGTGATAGTCATGGCTCACTGCAGGGAGATCAAGAAGTGAGCGAGCGACCGTATGTGTTCGCTCACTTCCCGATCTATTGAGCCGACCTGTGACAGTTTCATTGTCACACGTCGGCTCGAACTATGAGGAGTGAAAATCACCCACCTCATAGTTCTCCTTTTAACTATTATACAAATAAGATACATTGTTGTTATCACTCGGCTGCAGATCCTCCAATCATCTCTGAATTGGTGCTGACACTGTCCTTCCTTCTGGAGGGGGGCTACTTGTGTTCCCCATGGTCCCTGTGTGTGTTGTAAAGTAGTCACCGCTCCAAGCTCACTCCTGGGATGGACTACAATCTCAATACAAATGAGTAAACTAAAGGCGAAATTGTAGTCCATCCTGGGAGTGGGCTTGGAGTGGTGACTACTTTACAACACACAGGGACCATGGGGAACACAAGTAGCCCCCCTCCAGAAGGAAGGACAGTGTCAGCAACAATTCAGAGATGATTGGAGGATCTACAGCCGAGTGATTCACAAATAAGATACATTGTTGTTAATAGTTAAGGTATTTGAATGTATTTTTAAGATTTAACTCCGGAGTTTTGTGTCACTTTAACTTTGGTAACTACATCCAATATCTGGGCCCTGGAGAAGAGAACACTTTGACCCCTGAGTCTGTTGGCTGTTTTAGGTTTTCCTCTTATGAACCAATGTTTTGGACTCTCAGTTCTTTGGTCTGTGCTCTCATTAGAATTTTTCGTGGATTCTAAACTCTGGATCTCCTAGACAGGGGAAACCCGGTTTGTGCCGAGAGCAGTCTTTTCTTCAATCACAAGTTAAATCCAGAACTTCAATTGAACATATTGCAGATTATAACATTTAAAACCTGAGGGAGGTTTTACCTCTCACTCTATATAAAAATAACAAATAAGTTTTGGGTGGAGTTGGTATGTTACATGTGCGGCGTAATGGGCGCAATCGTCTCTTTTGCACGTATGCGCACCCGAACCATGTATGCATGCGTGTATGTATGGGTGGGGACTTAAAAAAAAAAAAATGTTTTCTTTTATTCTTTTTTTTTG